ATTATCTCTCTATCTATCTATCTATCTATCTATCTATCTATCTATCTATTTATCTATCTATCCTTCCTAAATAATTTAAAAGATTTTTTATATATTTATATATATATATATATATATATATATATATATCATTCTCTTCAAATCTATCTATCTAAATAATTTAAAGATCATATATCTATCTTAATAAGTTAAATATTATCTATCTATTTATTTATATAATTCTCTTCATATCTCTGGAAATAATTTAAAATAGTATCTCTCTATCTATATAATTCTGTTCATATCTATCTCTCGAAAAAATTTAAAAGATGAAAAGAACCCCACAAAACAATCTAAAGGCATTTCAGGCCGAGGAAAAGCATTTACTTAAGTTGAGAACAACAATTCCTTTTTGCCAACGTAACGTGACCGTCTCATAACTTGCATTAAGAAACATGTGAGTAGTTATTTTCCAAGCGTAGCTTAGATGCGGCACAAGGCCAAAAGTATGGGACACCCAGTGAGGATCGAACTCACTACTCAGTCGTAATTGTTCTAGCAAAGACAAGCTAGTTAACCATTACGGCAACTCGAGGTCCCCAAGCAACATGTGAGTAAAAAGGAAAAAACAAAACACTTCCCTTATAACTCCTTCATGGATCACGTGGTAATAAAGTCACGTGGCCCATGCAACTATAAAAAGTTAGTATCATCGTAACCATTTTAATTAATAAAAAAACAACCCAGGTAAGTACATTGCGTTTTCTCGCGTCTGAACAGTCAAATTCTCCACAATATCTATCTATCTATCTATCTATCTATATATATATATATATATATATATATATATATATATGCATCATTCTATTCATATCTATCTATCTAAATAATTGAAAGTATTATCTGTTTATCTCTCTCTCTCTATATATATATATATATAAAAATTTCTATCAAACATTGAAATCTATCTTTTACATAATTTTGTTAAAACAAAATTACAGCCTCTTTCGATTCACTTCCCTCTCACCCTCTCTCTTTGCCGTAACACTCATTTAGATATATCTGTATTACTGTCGTCTGTCTCCTCTCTCTTTTCCATTTTTCCTTTTCTTTTCCCCCCACTACACTCCCATTCCTATATATCATTTCCGTTAAGTTAACCATCTAAATAGGTCATGGTTCGGTCATCCTCCTACCCCAATATAAAGCATGCTTAAGAGAGATATGAAATTAACCCCTCCCTATACTCTACCATGTCTCTTTACCTACAACTCTCACCCCCGCTGTTAAATTATAATAATTATTCTACCCATCAATTTCTAATCCAATTTTTTCTTTCATTTCGTTGTTGGAATTGTTACCTGATGATCCGGAGTCCATTAAAAAGGATTTTGGTGAAATAAATTATTGTAATGGTACCTTAAAGTGGTCTGTTTTCATTATATATATATATATATATATATATATATATATATATATATATATATATATATATTAAAGTCATTTTATGTTTAACGTTCTTTTTTATAGATACAAGTATTTAAGTAAATGCTCTGTTTATAATAAACAGTATTAAATAACATTTACCGGCCTGAATGTCCGAGAAATTTTCATAGAAAATATTCGTCCTTTTCTATGAAAATTTCTCTTGGACATTCAGGCCCATACTGTTAACAGATTTACTTAAATATTTGTATCTATAAAAAAAAAGAACGTTAAACAAAAAAATGTCTTTATTAAATAAATTGTCGGACCTTGTCCATTTATATATATATATATATATATATATATATATATATATATATATATATATATATATATATATATATATTATCTAAATTATGTTTATATCTATCTATCTATATACTTGTTTATATTTCTATTTGTCCCAGTCTCCAATAATTAGTCTGTCTTCAGATTTACCTACTTGTTCATATCTATCTATCTATCTATCTATCTATCTATCTATCTATCTGCTTCTGTATATATTTGTGTTTATGTTTGTGTGTTTGCGTTTTTTGTAAGGTCTACGTATTTTACGCAATCTCTCTCAGACAAGTAAGGAGGACCTCTGCCAGGCTACTTCATTAACCGACGTTTGTCACACAAGAACATTTTCGCATCAATTCCTTCTGTAGATATTTCTTAAATTGATACGAACATTTTTTTCTGTTTCTCCTTATCTTTCTATCTATCGCTACAAATATCAGACTTTCAACAGTTTAACAACAACAACAATACTGACTATCAACAAAACATGAAAATAAATATAAAAAAATACACATTGCTCAAACAAACAAGTTAAAAACCTCAGCGCTCAGCAGAAGGTGGTGATAATTTGGACAAATTGTTACCAGTGAATAGTTCCATTGTGTTGGTAAAGTCTTTTGAATATTGCTATAGAAGTGCGCGAAAGAGTTTTCTTTCGTTCATTTTTCATGAATAAATGTCGAGAAAATTATACAAACGTATAATATATTTATAAAAATGGAACAAGTTATATGAGAGGAAAAAAAAAATTATTAAAGATTTTTACATTATTGTCATGTACTTTAGCTTTTTTTATATAAAGAAACCATTTCAGAGTCAGGAATTTAAACTTCATTTATAGTTATAGAAGAAGAAGAAGAAGAAGAGGAAGGAAGAAGGAGGAGAAGAAGAAGAAGAAGAAGAAGAAGAAGAAGAAGAAGAAGAAGAAGAAGAAGAAGAAGAAGAAGAAAGGACCAAAAAACAGCAGCAGCAACAACCCTGGGAAGAAAATAAGTGTAGATGATGCAAGTAGATATAAAAAGAAAGGGAGAAAATATTTGAAGTGAGGAGGAAAAAGATTTGTTCAAAGCCATATTTAGGAGGAGCTGAAGGTACAGAGACTAAAAGAACGGGAGAAGACATTTTGAAAATGAAGAAAAAGTGACAATGAAGAAATTCATGCTGAGGTTACGTATAAAAATGAAGGGAATGAAAAACTGGTAGCAGGGAAGAAAAAGCAAAAAAGCATGGACGATGTTGAAGCAGATAAGGGGCAAATTTTGAATGGTTGGCGGATGGCACGACGGAAGAAGAAATCATTGGACTATGGAATTGTATTAGAAAGAAAATAAAAGCAATCGGCAAGAAAAGAAACAAGAAGAAATTGGAAGCAAGAAATTAAGGAAAGTTAAATTGTGAAGGCAAGAAAAGAAAGAGCGAGTTATGTTAGAAATCGGAATGCGAGAAGAGAAGAAAGAAATGGTTGATAAGAAAAAAGAAAAATGATAAATTTAAAGGGAGTGTTAGGGGGTGATTAGAGCCGAGAGATAAAGAAAGAGAGTAGATATTCAAAGGCAGTAGTAGTAGTAGTAGTAGTAGTAGAAGAAGAAGAAGAAAAAGAAGAAGAAGAAGAAGAAGAAGAAGAAGACGAAAAAGAACATTAAGTGGAAGAAACTATTTTGAGAAAGAGTGAGGAAAAGGTATGACAGAAAAGGAGGAGAGAGGGCATTCAAAGGTAATGTCAGGAGATAAAGAAGAAGTTGAAGAATATGAACAAGATGAAGAGCAAGACGAAAATGAAATCAAAGAAGGCATCGAGAGTACTGAAGAAGAAGAAGAAGAAGAAGAAGAAGAAGAAGAAGAAGGAAAGTATTCGGAGAAATTGTAAGTAGAATGTGAAGATATAAAGGAAAAAGAGCATATTGTGAATAGAAGAAGACGAGGAAAAAAATTGTGGAGAAAATCGTAAAAAGAAGAAAGTATTCAAAGAAATTCTGAGGTAAAGATATAAAGGGAAAATGGGAAGCACAACAACAACTAGGATAAGAGAACAATAACAAGAACACAAGGAAGAAGCAAACAAGAAGAAGAAGATGAAGAAGAAGAAGAAGAAGATGAAGAAGAAGAAGAAGATGAAGGTAATTTGGTAAATCATGAGTTAAGATATCAAAGAAAAAGGAGATAAAACATCCATACAAGAACATGACGAAAAAGAAGAACAAGAATATATTCCGAAGAAGCTATACCCTGTAGAAGGAAAAAGAATCAGTGAACATATTAAAATGCATTCTGGGAAAAGTAGAGAAAATATTCGAAGGTATTCTGGGAAAAACAACAAATAGAAGAAGTGGAGGAGGAGGATGTCACTCAATGGAAGTGTGCGTAGAATATGAAGGTTCTTATAAAAAAGAGGGACTATATCAATGGTAGAAGATGATAAAAAAGAAAAAGATGACAAATATCACGATAACTTGGATACGTAAACGAAGAAAAATATTACGAGAGATAAAAAAAGAAAAATGAGAAAGAAAAAAGAACATTTTGATCAATAAAATTTAATTCGTCACACGTAACAACTGAATCGGAATATCGTAGCCATTTCGCTCTCAGTATTTTAACAATTCCTATTGTCAGGACCCTGTGTCAAAATGGCTGAATAGCGCCCATCAAATAAGTTATTACAGAACCACCAGACTACCAACAAATGATTTAATTATATTCGTGAAGGTTTGGATAGAACAGGCAAATGATAACAGAAAAAGTCACTAAACAACCCTGCTTATGTTTTGAACCAAGAGTTCTCAGTCATTGACAATGAATAAAGAGGTCTATCTACTGTTCTCTTGTCATAGTTGGGGAATATTTCATGGATTAACAGCTCTTCCAAAGGTATTTGTGCAAATGAATGTACTGAGTTTATTTTACCGCGCCGCTGACCCTACATCGCTTGCAAACACACACATACACAAGCACACCCGTACGCGCACAAACTTATGCACACATACGCATATATTTATTTTTCACATCTCTAAATCATATATATCTATTTAATGTCAATCCCAATATGTTCTGTGCCCACCCTAAGGGATAACGAAATAGATTTTGCACTTAATGTTACAACCACCAGGTGAGCAACCCATGGCCATTTCTTATTGTCACATTTTTCCATGGCATGAAGTGGAATGATTTTATTGAATACATTGCTTGAGTTTGATCTGTTGCTAGGGAAGGTGATTCAATGTTTCAATTCTTTCTCATCTGAATTCATCTTGTACGTTTATAAACCTTACTTTCGACCGCGCATTGAATATTACTGGCATATTTGGTGAAAGTCTCTTGCTATGTGTCTCTAGATTATTAACACGATCCAATAGAAGCGTCTGCTATGTTATCTGTCTTCACCTGGCATCCCGACTTCAGTTAATTTCACAACGACAGTGACACAACTTCCTTTTTGTTTTTCCATAAATATTTTCATGGCAATTATTTCAGATATCTCATGACATCTTCTGTCTTCCTGAAATCTGGCTTCATGTAACTTCCGGGTGTTCGTTAAGTTAAGTTTAAATTAATATCCATTCCAATATTTTATTCTTTAATTCAACTGCAGAGTATATTGTATATACACTTATTAGAGCCATTCATTATTCTCTGTCCTCAGGTTAAATAGTGATTTTTTTTTCGAGATCAGAATTGTGATAGAAAAACATTATGTTTTTATATTGGCCGTAATTACTTTGAATTCATCATATAGTTTTTTTTTTAACTAAATGTCACCAGATGAAAGTTCAGAGAGTAACTCAAGGCAGATGACTATTATTTATAATTAAACAGGTATGTTATATGACCGAAAGTTAAGCTAGAAGATAATGAAGATTATATGGATATGGAAGCGAGATATCGATTAGCCTTTGACTTGAAGAGATCATTATTATTGTTTTTTATAATAAACAACTCTAACGAATAACGTCGATATAAAGCACTTATTTATCTGTAAAATTTACAGATAAAGACGTATCCGTTGCTAAAGATTTGAAAAAGATCCATCAGGAAAGATAGGAGATTTCCTCTGTTATCTCTGCTATTACCTTTTCTTTTACGAAAATCTTAAGTTTAAGAACTGCTTCAGGTTTTATGTCAAGTCACCCTCCGAAGGCTATTTTTGCAATGTGACATTCTATTACCTACATTTTTTACATTATTCGGACTATTGTCCTCATCTTTGTCGCCATATTTATTACAACATTTCGGCTGTTGTTCAGGTGGTTGGAATGTCGAACTTAACCCTTTATTTCTCTCACGGGGGTAAACTGTTCTAGTTCCACGTGCCATGTTTAATGGATGTCTGTTATCAGTTCTCTTAATTTCCCTCTGAAAGTTCTCCACTGGCTTAACCAGGCATTGAACTTACACTCTTTAGGTCCTGTTACTGGATTTAAACAACGCCTTTATCCACTGTGCTATGTGTCCTTCTAATAAATATGGCGACAAAGATGAGGACAATATTTCGAATAATGTAAATAATGTACATAATACGTCATGTCATAAATATAGACAAATACTATTACTTGCTGCCTGGTCATTGGTGACTAAAGTGGTTCTTCAACCAGCTTTCTGGTGAGGTCATCTAAACATACTGAAGGAATAAAAAGAAATATTTCAAAGCCTGGATAAATATTATTTACTCTACGGCCTTCTCTCTGTATGGAATAGACTGTATTCCATTGCTATGTAACAGCAAAATTGTCCAAATCGTGTAACAGCAAAATTGTCCGATTCTGAGATGAATTTTGAACCGTTGTAACTTAGAAATGATTAAAGATATCCTACTGGAATTCTCCGAGATTTTTATAACACTGTTGGACTGTACTTTGAGCAATAAGGATGTATAATTACTCTCCATGCTTAACAGAAGGATCGTGATGAAATCTACCATAAACGAATATGCCATGTTCATCATTAATTAATCATAGCTAAGGATCGGAAGTTCATAAAGGATTGATATAGACTTCAAATACACACACACACACACACACACACACACACACACACATATATATATATATATATACCTAGTGAGCCAGACAAACCTACCTAGGTTTCACCTAAACGGATCGTCAGGGAAACTTTCCCTGACGATCCGTCTGGCTCACTAGGTGTATCTAGGTCTGCTCTACGGTTATATTGAGCTCTTTTGTTAGTTACTTGTTACTCGTATCGGGGTTTTTTCTTTGGGCTTCAGACCTGCATCTGTGCGATTTTTTTGTCGGCAGAAGTTCATGTTTGTAGCTCTTTCTTTTTTTAAAACCTTTTTTCCCTCGAGATTGATTTGATTAGCAAATCAAAAATTTGAGGGTTTTTCGAAACGAGTCTAGTTATCTATATATATATATATATATATATATATAATTCTCGGATCATTTTCCATCATATTCTAGATGATTGACACCCTCTCTCAACTTACAACTTTCTGTCCTGGAATAACAATCTACCTCTTTTTTGACTGTAATAGCTGAAACTTCTCTCTCAGTTGCCAAACGTCTTATGGATTGTGTTGGATTTTTTCTAATTATCTCTTTAGTTGACATGATGATCTCTCTTCCTTTTGTGACCTCTTGATCCAGTTTTCCTCTCTACTGTTTCTTCTTTTTAAAACACATTCACCATTCTTTCGATGGTTCTAGAATGGACTTTGAAGATGGAAGCCAGACTATGAATGTTGGCACCATTACTGAAGGCCTGAATGATCTTTTCCTCTCAACATTGTTCATTTGGGAAGAGAGTGGGCCTGATCCAAAATGATTTTCACCTGTTCTTTTTCTAGCTGAATTGTTGCGAATGAGTAGTGAGTTCGATCCTCACTGGGTGCCCCCATACTTTTGGCCTAATACCACATCTGAGCTACGTTTGGAAAATCACTATAGTCAGATCGGTGATGATATATCATCACTGGGTTGAGGGTTTCTTAAAATGAAGTCAAGGTCCGGGGCCTGCTTCATATCAGTTGCCTTTTCATGTCTGAGTTGAAATACGGAGAGATATACTTTCATGCATCGAGCCTACAGTTGTCCGATAGTAGCTCAGTGTATCGAAGGACAAAATGTCGAACAGACAAACTGTCGAATGCATTAAGTATCGGACGAACAATTTGTCGAATGGACAAAGTGGCGAACGGAAAAAGAATCGAACTGACTAAATGAAGAATGCACATAATGTAGAACAAGGTTTCAAAAGAACTGAATACTGTAGAAAGTAAAAATGAACATATCGTTACCATTTTAAAAATATGTTGAAAATACAGCAAGTAGAGGCGTCGAATGAATATATAAAAATAAACAATTTTAAACCAAAATCTAAAATTCATTGTTGATAAATCCGGCATCAGTGTTAATTAGAATATCTTAAGCCATCGCTCACAATCTTTAATAATATTTGGCTACAACTGTAATTTCCTCAATAATAATAAAAAGAAATATTTCCAATTCCACCACAATTGCAATGCTTCGTAAATAAAACATTTAACTCTTTACTGTAGTTTGAAGGTAAGTTCTTGTTCAAAAGATAAATCATGTTGAAAGTTTTTTTTCATCAAATATTTTTATATTACTTTAAAATTTGAAAATAATTATTTACCATATATATATATGTATATATATATATATATATATATATATATATATATATATATATATATATATATATATATATATAGAGAGAGAGAGAGAGAAAGGAGTGAGAGAAAGATGCATATATATATGTGTGTGTGTGTATAAAGAAAGAGATGCATATACATATTATATATATATATATATATATATATATATATGTCTGTGTGTATAAAGAAAGAGATGCATATACATATATTATATATATATATATATATATATATATATGTGTGTGTGTGTGTGTGTGTGTGTATAAGAAAGAGATGCATATACATATATATATATATATATATATATGTGTGTGTGTGTGTGTAGGTTATTAAATGCCCGCAGAACACATAAAGATTTACTTTTCTCTATGCGATTATTTTTTTAGTAAAAATATATTGCATTAATATCGGATTTTTTCATCAGAGGTTTTTATATTAGTTTAAAATTTAAAAATAATTATTTACCAGCAGGATACTTGCATGTATTGTAAACACATTTC